TGGAATAGAGAAGCTTATAGCATAACAACTAGAACATCTGGATAAACACAGAAACCATGTGATGGAAGGTAGTGTAAAGTTGCTAATACAAAAATTTGTCTCAAGATTCCAGAGATGGCAGAGCCTCAAATAGGTAAGATAACAACTACAGTCTATTTTCTTTCTTTTTTTTTTCTTTTTTCCTACTGTGTTCATATTATGTCCACTGCTAAATAAGGGCAGGAAGCATTACATCATTATGACAGCATATGTGAAAGGGATGAATTCTCTTTGGAAGAAGATAAATACCACCTCTGCATTTTTTCACACTTACTATCTATACTTAACCAAAAGTCATTATGCATTCAAAGATACAACTAAGTGTCCACTAACAGAAGACTGGGGGAAGGTGAAGGTAATAAAAACAGGCCCTCGCTAGGGAACATTTCTCACCCAATTTTATGAGGATAGCATTGTCCTGGTATCAAAAATCTGACAAGAAATTTTGAGGGAAAAAATCATTGACCAAGTCTTTTATGAATATAAATATAGAAGTTCTGAATAACAAATACGTAGCAAATCAAATCCTGCCATGTGTGCATACTTATAATATGTATACTTATTGAGAAAATTGAGCCTGATATATACAACCATACCAATAGAGGCAGATAATCAATTTGATAAGGTTGTACACAATTTTATGACAAAAATTCACATAAATATAACAGAAGATGGCAAAATTCCCTAATCTGATAAAGAATATCTACCAAAACCTACTTAAGATATCATTCTCAATATTGAGATATTAGACCTCCACCCTTTCTGCAGATCAGAAGGAAAACAGAGATGCCCACTATTACTAGTTCTGTTCAAAGCTATCCTGGAAATCCTACCCAGTGCAATAATGAAATAAGAAATTAAGGTTCATAAATTGGAAAAATAAGAAACAGAACAAATTATACCTCAGACAGCAGGATAATATACATAGAAATTCCAAATGAATCTACAGAGAAATCATTGCCAATGATTAGAAAATTTAGCAAAGTTGCTGGAAATAAAGTCATCAGGATGATAAAATCAATTATATTTCCATATACCAGATAGAAAGAAATGAAAAGGGCATTCATTGCACACATGCATCGAAATAGCACAATGAACCTCAGAAATATGTCAATTAAAATAATAATAAAACAATAAAAAGTTATAACAACAACAAAAGTAGTAATTACCTAGGAAAAATCTAACAAAGATTTGCAAGCCTCTGTACTGAAAACACAAAATTACTGGGAAAATAAATGAAATGCAAATAAATTGGGAGCATAACCACAATCAGGAATTGGAAGATTCAATGTGTCAAGATGCCAATTCTTTCCAAATTGATTTGTAGATTTAATGTCACCCTGATAAAACCCCAGCAGGAAATTTTATAAAATTGACTGTCACCTTTAATATTTATTTGGAAATGTAAATACATAAGAGTGGCCAAAACATCATTAAACAGGAAGAACAAATATGAAAGACACATACTACCAGATACCCAGACCTGTTATGAAGCTTTAGAACTCCAAACTCTAAACAGCACAAAGTCCATTAAGCTACCACACATATGAGTTTTGCCCTTCACTTATCTCATGTTGGTAGAGAATTGGAATGATACTGTGAATCTGGGAACTTCAAGAGCATTGAGTTGTGGTGTAGGAGAAACAAGCTTACCTTAGGGATGAGGTAGTTTCTGAATTTAATGTCACGGGTCACGGCATGTGGTGCACTGTTGGGGACGAGGTCAATGTATCTCTGGACCTCATGCACCACAGCATCTGTGTAGGGCATGAAGCTTCTGTCCTGCATGCAGGGGCTCCGGTGTCTGCCAACCACACGGTCAATCTCTTCTTGGACTTTAGCTGATAGGACACAAGTAAGAACTAATGGAAAACGAGAAAAATGGCACATTTGCCATAGCAAGTCACAGCTACATGAAGCATGATAAAGGTGTCCCAACAGCAATATAAACATGAGTTATATGCCCAGAAGTACACCTAGACATGTAAAGAGAGCTGCCATCATATAGATGCATATCACTGTCCTACCAATTAGGTATTATGATACATTGGTTCATGCCTGTAAATTACCATAAATGATAACTAATATAAAAAGAATGAAATGTTCCCCCCAATATGGGGGAAATAATTAATTAAAAAATCATGTTCTTGCAGAAAGTAAAGCAAGAGTCAAATATTAATATTAAATCAATGTCAAAATGATACATGGGGTTTAAAATTAAATTGTAATGGTGTATAAAGTTATGTGTTTTTGGGTGTTTGCATCTGTCTGCATGTGTGTGTTTGTGTGTAAAATTTGCAATGGCACTCTCTTCATCTCCCTACCACTCAAATGTGGACACTTTGAGCATTCTTCTAAAATTTATATTCATATTTCTAAATAACAACTCTGTTTGTATTTCTTTCTTAACCATTTTAGACAAGATTTAACTGTTTACTGCTATGTGAGTTGATAATTCAACTTCATTTCCACCCCCTATATTCACACCCACACCCACAGATATTCACACATACACAGACATACACACAGAGACACACTCATGTACTTCCCCTCACCCCATTTTCCAGAATATATGTAGACTACAAGTATTGGTCATAGTTTCATCATTCTGACTACATAAATATTCTTCCCTCATAAGTCAAGTATGATTATGATTTATATATGGTATTTTCTTCAACTTAATCTGTTTTTTTATTTCAATTCATAATTTTCTATTTCCCAAGTCAGAATTATTCCCAAGTTCTCAGGTAGATGTTTGAAACTCCTGATAACAATTTCCCAATTATTGGGAAACCTCATTAAATCCATCACTTCTCCTTTGTTCTTGGTGTCTGTCCTCACACCTGCATTGCTGACCTGGTCCTTTCTGAGGTGGGTGTTTTCTAGGCCTGGTGCCCAGCAGCCTCCCTGACTTTCGCATCCTCCTACATGAGGCCTCCTGATTCCTGCAGCCCATGAATTCCTCTGACTTGGTTTCGGACATTTGGATGGAGCACATCTTCCAGTAATTTTTAGAAAAAGTAAAAATAGGAGGTAAAGTTTTGGTTAAATGTGTAAGTCTGAAAATACATTAATTCATAATATACAAGACAATGGCTACTCTTTAGAATTCTGGTGCTGTCTGAATCCTAATATTTTATACATGACCTGATATATCTCTGCAAAAATTTTTAGGATTTTCTCTTTAATTCTGGTGTTCTGTAATTATATACTCGTGTGTCTTGGGGAGTATAATTTTATTTCACTCACTGTGCTGAGAAGTTGTCAAGAATTTTCTATTTAGTTAGCAAAATACCAAGATCTCTTCTCTATATATATTCACTCTTGGAAGGATAAATCTGGCTGCTGAATTTCCAGAAGGAAGAAGGAGGGAAAAGTTAAGTCTCTGAACTCAAGCACAGGACTCTTACCAAACCTTCCTTTCCAGCCTCACACCTCACTGTTTCTCTCTC